CCCCCCCCCCCCCCCCCCCCCCCCCCCCCCCCACTGAGCGACTTTTCGGCGGGCGCGTTTTTCAAATTTTCGGGAGCAAAAAAAAAAAAAAAAAAAAAATTGTTGCTCTGTACCCCCCCCCCCACTGAGCGACTTTTCGGCCGGCGCGATTTTCAAATTTTCGGGAGCAAAAAAAAAAAAAAGTTGGGCCCCCTCCCCTAAGAAATCCTGGATCCGCGCCTGGTCTTGGCAATGAAAACTATAGAGGAAATATGCTAGGACAGCTTGCAAGAGGAGGAAACTGGTGATTATCAACGCTCTCTTTGAACAGCACCCTAGACGTCGCTATACATGGAAAGCACCTGGGGATACTGTACGCTACCAGATGACTACATTGTGTGAACCAGCGGTATAAGAATGGTGTAAAAAAAGTCCCTGGCAAGGCTGGCATATCCAGGCGCAGACTGTGACTCGGATCACAACTTGGTGATGATCACAGCAGGCACGTAGCCACGGGAACTTTTTTTAGACCCCTCCCCAGAATTTGATTTTTTTTTTTTTTTTTTTTTTTTTGGGGGGGGGGGGGGGAGGGGGCACATACATGTAATCGATCGAGGTAAAAAAAAGGGGTCTAAAAAAGTTCAATTGATCTTGAAAATTTTAGAGGGCACTTGCCCCCCCCCCCCCGCGTGGCTACGTGCCTGCTGCTTACCAACCAACGGGACATAGAGGAGAGATGGCGTCAGTACGTAGAGGAGCTGTATGCAAGGGACAATAGGGACTTTTAGATATGCACAACGACAACGTGGATTGCTACGATCGACGTCCTTTTAATGCACTGCCTTGAATGGACGTCACACGTATCAGTCCACAGTAAAAGTAAAATCAGTATCAGTAAAAGTCCCTAATAAACCAGTCGCCCTGCCCTTGGAAATGGAAGATTATGTCATGGAGGATGACTTTGGTCCTCCTCCATGACATATATTTTACAAAATACCAGACCTATTAAAATGTGCCAATGACAAAGTTACTCTTACTTTACAAAGGAAAATGCGAAAATATTTGGGGTTTTTACTAGGTCATGCTTAAAACATTGGTTTATTAAAGAAGTAAATAGCTAATGCAATCAAGGAAAGAATAAATAGTTGTACATGTATACTTTTAAATATTAATACAAAAACAATAATGACAAAACTCAGATGGTTTCGTGTACAAATTTCAGAGGTAAAATGCCAGAGATTAAACGTCACGTCACAGATACAAATGTCAGAGTTAAAAATGCCAGATGTCAAAAAAAAAAAATAAGTGGTAAAAATGCCAAAGATAAAAAATAAATATTAACTTCTGACACCTCACATTTTATCTGTACCATTTTACCTGACACCTTGAGAGTATTTTTTTTCTTCAAAATGAAATTGAATGGATAAATATTTCCCATTCAATGTAAGCAATTTGGCCATTCAATTTAATGTTCAGAGCCTGAAAATATAAAGAAATATTTCCTCTAGCTATAAACCAGTTCCCTAATGTACTCAACGCAAAATGTATGATTTTTCGACCCACAAATCAGTGTTATTTGAATAGTTGCTAAAGAGGCAGTTTGGATGTAGACCAGATCCCTGGTAGCCTACATGCTTACTCAACGCGAAAAGTATGGTTTTCAATGTCGATGATCTATAAAACAAGTCTTTTTTTAATACATTTTTTTTCAAGAGGTAGTTTGGAGATATACCAATTCCGTAATGTAGTCAGGCCTATATTTGTGTTGAAGACATTTGTGAGGAAAAATGAACTTAAAGCTACGTTAATTATTGCTCTCCTCCAAATAATTTCTCAGAGTATGTATATTTACACAAGCACACACACACACACGCACACACGTATACACACACCACTACACGTTTATGGCGTCAAACGTGGACCAAGTTTAGTACTTGTGTGTGGGGACCAATGGATGATAGTGGACCAGTGGATGATAGCAGGTAGCGCGCCTTTCCCGCGCAGTCATCGAAGGGGCGCTGTGACATTTCGCAATACACATAGGACTGATCCATGTACTTGATGTTACCTACACGCTGTGATATCTAATATTCAAACGCCCCTACGTCGTAAATTTGATACGGCGGAACCGGTATCGCAACCGTGGACGGTCCCCCATTGCAGGTACGTCCGCGGTTTGAGTTAGTTTTCTATGGAGTGGTCCGCGGTTGATGGCGTTTACCCACGCACACACACACGCACACACACACACACAGACACTTTTTGTCTTATTTTTCCCAATAGTTTTGTTTTATTAATTCCAAACAATACAAATCAATGTTAGAAATAAAATACAGTTGCTTTTTCTTGACATGAATTAAATACATATTCATTACATAGATTGTACGAATGATGAAAACAAAAATGAAATCAGTTGTAACATGAAAACAAATAACCCCTCCAACCAAACACACTACTACCCCCCTCCCCACCATGCAACACACACACACCACCCGTCCACAATTCCACCCCACACTGCTGACGCGGATCCAGGATTTTCCAATAAGGGGGGGGGGGGGGGGGGGCGGAAATTTGAAAATTGCGCAGACCGTTTTTCAACTCAACATACCAATACTGACAAGGTCATATTAGAAGCACCATACCGGTAATTTCATTTTCTGGTTTTGCAATTCGGCTAGTGAGCGAAGCGAGCGAGCAAAAATTTGAGGATAATATGTATTTTGTGAAAGTGTTATTTATCACCAAAATATACGAGAAAGGATATACACATAAATATTCGGGCAGCTCGCTGTCCCCCCCCCCCTCCATTACGCGCGAAGCGCAGAAGCTTTAATGTTTCATGAAATTATTAGAGAAAGAAGAGGATTCGTTGTACCATTCTCAACTCCTAATCCTTGTCTGAATTTAGTTCCTTCCCCTGCTCCCCACCCCCCTCCCGCGCGACGCGCGGAAGTTTTTACCTTCATTAATTGATATTAGAGAAAGAAGACGATTTGTTGTACCATTCTCGACTCTTATTCCTTGTCTAAATTCAGTTTTCCCCCTCCCGCGCAAAGCGCTGAAGCATTGACCTTTCATAGATTAATGAAATTATTAGAGAAAGAAGATAATTCGTTGTACCATTCTCGACCCTCAATCCTTCTCTGAATTCAGATTCCCCCCTCCAGCGCAAAGCGCAGAAGCTTAACGTTTCATTAAATTATTAAAGAAGACGATTCGTTGTACCGTTCTCGATTCTTAATTATTGTCTGAATTCATTTTCCATACCCCTCCCGTGAAGGGGCGTGGAAGCTTTGACGTTTCATTAAATCATTAGAGAAAGAGTACCGTTCTCGACTCTTAATCCTTGTCTGAATTGAGTCTCCCCCCCTTCTTCCGCACGAAGCGCGGAAGCTTTGATGTTTCATTAAATTATTAGAGAAAGGAGACGATTCGTTGTTCCGTTCTCGGTTCTTAATCATTGTCTGAATTCAGTTTTCCCCCTCCGGGCGAAGCGCAGAAGCTTAACGTTTCATTTAAATTATTAAAGAAAGAAGACGATTCGTTGTACCGTTCTCGATTCTTAATACTTGTCTAAATTGAGTCCCCCCCCCCCCTCTCGCGCGAAGCGCAGAAGCTTTGACGTTTCATTAAATCATTAGAGAAAGAGTACCGTTCTCGACTCTTAATCCTTGTCTGAATTTAGTCCCCCCCCCTCTCCCTCTCCCTCGCGAAGCGCCGAAGCTTTGACGTTTCATTGAATTATTAGAGAAAGAAGACGATTCGTTGTTCCGTTCTCATTTCTTGATCATTGCCTGAATTCAGTTTCCCCCATCCGCGCAAAGCGCGGAAGCTTTGACGTTTCATTGAATTATTAGAGAAAGAAGATGATTTGTTGTACCATTCTCGACTCTTAATCATTGTCTGAATTCAGTTTCCCCCTCCGCGCAAAGTGCGGAAGCTTTGACGTTTCATTAAATCATTAGAGAAAGAGTACCGTTCTCGACTCTTAATCCTTGTCTGAATTGAGTCCCCCCCCCTCCCCCGCGCGAAGCGCGGAAGGATTGACGTTTCATTAAATTATTAGAGAAAGAAAACGATTCGTTGTACCGTTCTCGGTTGTTAATCATTGTCTGAATTCAGTTTCCCCCATCCGCGCGAAGCGCGGAAGCTTCGCGTGGAACCGGGAGCGTCATATCTTAGTTTTATGTTATCGGGCGAGGGCCGGGGCATAGCGACCAAGCGAGATTTTGCAATGTAGAATGCTGAAATTATGCATTCTAGAAAATCCTTTAGTCCAATATGTACGTTCTTTTCGCTACATGTATATTTCTTTCTAGCTATATATCTAAATTTCCGGGGGGACGTGTCCCTCTATCGGGCCCAGGATCGCCGCCGCTGTCCATTATCACTACCAACATGAGTTCAAATATACGCACAAGCGAGTTGGTATGAGCTGAATCCAAATGAAGGGCAACATAAGAGTTGTGAAGCGTTTAGTATATAGCTTCTATTTGAAAGACATCCAAAATATTGTGCCCTTTCCAATTTTTTAAAAAAAGCAGGGGCTGTTTGTAACGTTTAAGTTTGAATCCGTGGCTCGAGATTTTATGCGGCCGGCCCGGCCCCCTCTATTCAATAACGTTCCCAAGCCTTCTGGAATGACCCCAAATCTCCCGATTACAGTTTTTCCCTTATTCGTCGTTACTGTCACTTAGCGCCATTTCCTTGTCTTTCCCCCTTTCTCACCCGACTTTTCTCTTCCCCTTCCCACCCCCCCCCATCCACTCAGTGTTATCTAGGGTACACGCATGTATGTTCCCTCTCTTAGTTTGAAAGCACCCCTTTATCTTCGGTGTGTAAAGTCAGTGCGGGCCGGATTTGTGTGTATTACGGGCCGGACTTTGTTGCGTGAAAAGTAATCCTTTATCGGAAATTTGGGAACACAAAATCGGTCCCTCCGACCCCGGAGTGGGAGTGAGGTGGGGGGGGGGGGGGGTATCTTCTTTCTTTTTTTTCTCTCTCTCTCTCTCTCTCTTCTTTCTTCTCTCTTCTCTTTTCTTTTCTTTTCTCTTCCCCTTTCTTTTCTCTTCTCTTTTTTCTTCTCTTCTCCTTTCTTTTTTTTCTCTTTTTTTTTTGCGCCGCCAATAGGGGGGGGGGGCGCGGCCGTTTCGGCCCCCCTTGGATCCGCCACTGCACTGTTCCTAGCCTCCTCAGAATACCCCAATTAGAGCGACAGACAAACAGAAACAATCATTTAAACGAGGCTTCAATAGCCAAAAAAGCCCAGTGTTAAAAGTTCATGAAAACTTCACTTGTTCCCACTTCTGTAAATGTAAGGCCATTTTACCTGCCTCCCTGCAATATTCTTTTCTTCTTCCCTAAATTCCAACAGTTCTTTTTTAAACTCCCCCAAAGACAATATCATGGACTTTCCACTGCATCTATATATCCAATATTTCATTGCAAAAATAATTGTATTCACAATCTTTATTCGTGGGGAGTTACCGGACAACCCTAAATGAATTATATCCAGTCGATAGACCTTAATTCCCTTAGCTCAAACTTAGCTATTACATTTTGCCATAATATTTGAACATGTACACACTCCCAGAACAAGTGTAAATATTTTCTATCTTTTGCTTACAAAATGAGCACAAGTTATCTAACAAAGCCGAATCTGAATAAGTGTTCTCTAGTATATATTGCTCCATGAAGCAGTTTATACTGAATTTCTCTTAGTCTGTTAACAAGAATAACTTTCCTAGGCTTACTGAATATTTACCTACATATCTCATTTGAAAAATCTGAAAATTCCCGTCCATCATGAATCTTCAAGACAAATCAATTTTGTAACTTTTCTATAAAATATTCATAATCCTTCCTCGAAAATAAATCTCTGAGGAGCTTCACAGTACTGTTAAACTGCATTAAGATATTATACTCTTTTACATCCACTAAACTCCAGTTATCCTTTTTTCCGCTTCTCAAAATAGCTTCCCCAATATTCCATACAGCAACAATTTTGTTTCCTTTTAATCCCAAGTTTTGAAAATGAGATATTTCCCGCATGCCATTTTCAGCAAAAATATCTTGAATTGATATTATATTGCGTGTAAACAACTCCTCATCAAAAATTATTTTCTTTTTCAACAAGAAATATTTATTGTTAAAAATAATTCGATTATTCTTTTCTTCAAAATCCCAAATTCCCATGCTTTGATCATTTTTAAATAGAACTTAGGTACTTTGAAACTTAATAACTTTGAATCATAGTTACACAAAAAAATAAATCTACCCCCTACCATCTTGAAGCAGAAATCAAAGTATAGCTTCCATCTCATAGGTTTTTCTCCGTACAATAGTCTTTTCACCCACATTACCCACTGGGTTTTTACAAACGAGTCAAAATTAGTCATTCGTAACCCTCCTTCATTATAACCTTGATACAATATTAATCTCTTAATTCGATCTTTCCCATTCCACACACCCACACGCACACACATACTCATATATAATATTATATATAAATATTTAGTTCATTCTTAACATGTGAAATTATGAAAATTTTCACGATCTGTATTGATTCTAAATCAACCATACAACTTTTTCAGTTGTTAAACAAATCACTTATATCGAAAATAATATCGCTAGTGACATTCGTTTGTCACTTATACTTTTAAACAAAACCTCACTCTTTTCTGAAAGCTAGAAGGGTCAAATCTGACTGACATGAGCGCTATACAAGAACCCACTATTATCATTATTATTAGATAGAGATAGAATTCGGTACTGCAGATGGATGAAGCCAGTGGTACTTCTCTTCTCTGGTCTTATTTCGTTCGTCGATTGTATTACCAATTTGTTTGAGTTCAGCGCGGAATCTGAAATAATAAAAAAAAAAATCATATGAACATTTTGTGTTTTCAATTTTTATTCAATTTAATTTATTTATCATCCGACAATGATGTAAAAACACATATAAAAGTTATAAATACATGAATTGGCAAAATATTAGATGAAACGAAACCTTCAGAAAAAGCACAACGCTTGTAAAACTTCTTGTAAAACAGAAGGTACCTAAACATATCATTTGAAATTATACCCAATAAAAAAATATAAACATTAAATATCATATAAGGTACATGTATATATACAGACACGCCCCCCCCCCAACAACAAAATCGGAAATAATGAATAAAATAACTTAAAGGTAAAGACCAGTTATGGTCATGCGATTGCATTGTGAAAGAAACGTTGTGGAATCGATCAGAAAAGGTTGATCATCTAGCATCTAGCATCTGCAAGGTTCTGGAATCATCAAAATAATAAGAAATTTGGCCCATTCTTCGTAAAGTTGCAAGCACTATACACAGAAAGATGTATATGGGACTACCCTATATCTCTCACAGACCATGAGAGAAACAAATTTACCATATATATGAATTAGTAGGCGGTTTCCTGGCAAATTTGTTATCATCATGTATTAGTCAAAACATATTCTTTCACATGATTGGTAATGAGAGCTTCCATTTCATTTTTTGAAATTGCGGCGTTTCCAATACTGGTCTTTACCTTTAATAATTTTTTTTTAAATACCGCTGGAATGCAAAAAGGCCCTTACCTCTCCAAAGCTTTGATACCGATAGGATCATACATGTACTGGACCTCGAAGTCTCCCAGTGGCTTGTTGTCACGGCTGCTGAGGAGTGCTGTGATGGCCATGGTCCGTAAGGTTTGTTTCTTGCTTGGGAGCTTGTCAATAATATCCTTCTCACATAGAGCAGTCTGATGAAAAAGATACGGATGGATATATAAATTAATAAATAAATGAACGAATTAATAAGTAAATAAATGCTAGATAAATAAAGTTAGACAATAATATTGGGGTTTACTTCCCCGGGGTAGCCCCATCGGTATTAATACTGCTCTTCCTGCAGGCCATGTATACCCAGCATTTGCCAGGTGCCGATTTACTCATGGGTGAAGAGTGATAAATGTCGATAAATGACTTACCAAGGGACTTTAGTGACGGGCTGGCATTCGAACCCTCATCCCTTGGATTGTGGTGGTATAGTGGTTCATTCACTTGACTCTCAATCCTAAAGTTGAGGGTTCGATCCCAGCCCAGCACTAATTAACGTCCATTCGCCAGACATCATTCCACACTTACCACTCTCTATCCAGGTGTAAATGACTATCTTTATTACCATTGTTATTATTATTATTATTATCAAGCACAATTAGGCATAATTAATACCGTGGTGCACAATAGGCAAGTGGGCCTACAATCTAGTCCTAAGATCTGGAGCAGCAAGACCCATCCCTTACCTTGTCATGTGGTGGTTTGCCGCTCAACCAGGCGGGGTAGGATGGCGGGAATCCGAAATTGTCGTACTGACCGAAATTCACCGCGGCATGCTCAGCGGTGAACGTGAAGATGAAGTCGGTGATAACGGTTGTGATCTCTCTTGACGTTTCCAATCGGCCACTGTTCGGAAATCCCTGAGAGAAATAGTAAATGAAAATCGTAGTGTGATGTGGCACAGCAAATGCATAGGACACTACATCTGAGCCAAAGTTAGATGACATGCACAGGCCTTAAAATGTCAATATTTTCAGGGCAAGGCCACCTTTTTGTAGGGCACGTACAGTCCTATATTACAGAACAAATAGGAAGAATTGGAAAGGGCACACAAAAACTCCAAGGCCAGTGAGAGGGACATTGAGGCCAATCAAAGGGGCATCCACGGCCATGGCCTTGGTGGCCTTGGATTAATTCAAGCCCTGCATGCATCTTTGCACACGAGGCATAATGAGAAAGTAAGGCGTCCAAAAATGAATACAAAATGAAAAAAATATTGCTCTTAATAACTGGTATTCGAATCGACACGACTCCTCGAAAACACCGGAACAATGACACATTCAAAACAAAGGGATAAGTGTATATCATAATAACGAAGTACCTGTTATATTCTTAATAATGATCGTTTGAAGGTGTCTATCTCTTTTCCTACCGCCCCCACCCCCACTGTTGTTTAGGGCACGCGTATGCATGTTCCCTCCCTTTGAAAGCAGGGTCAGGTGCGTGTTGAGCCCATGGAAAAGTTTAGGGTTAGGGTTAGGGTTAGGGTTAAATCAAGACCTCTTAAAAAAAAAAGCCCCAATCTGTGCCGCAGAAGAAAATAACGCTTCCCGGAGTGGGGGGCTTCCGTGACTTTAAGCTCACTGCACACGAGGCGTTATTTGTCTGACGTAAGAGTGCGTCAGTGACAAATGGGGGCCTTGGATGCGCTACGCAAGAGAGGCATCGCGTTCCGTGACAATGCTTTTAATACTTGGACTATGGACTAACTGCCTATATAGCCTTGTTTATAGCGAAGGTAATAACGCAATCGAAATGACGCCTCGTGTGCAACTAGCATTTCAAACTTAAACGATGCGCTTTCTTATCGTGGTTAAATTGCAAGGTAAAGAAGGTTAGATAGCGCCTTTTTAAGTGCATTTATACAATCATTTCTGTTAGAAATGCAACCCATCGGTTTGGAATTTGACACCTGTTTATAAAAGTGTTTCATCGTCAGACCCACTCTGAACCGAAGATAACTTAGCAACTCATGGTACGAATTTTTAAAAACATTTTCTCGGTATGTTCTCGGTTTGGGCAGCATTTTACGAAACCTTTATAAACACAAGTTCGCCTACATTTCATTGAAATGCTTGTATTAACATTGATACTAGATGGTATATCGGTAAACTTATGGCGATTTCGTGAAACGATACCCTGATGTCGGTGTCATCGTTTTGTGCAACCAGGGAGTAGGCCTACGATTGAGATATCAAGGGTTCTGTAATTTCTGTTATTCATGAATTTGTTGTATAGTTCAGTTATGCAATACCTTGATTTCAGCTGTGATGTCTCCCTCACATTTCGGCTGACCGCCCAAGAACCACGCCCATTCTTGAAGCTCCTCGTCGCCAACAATCTTCTCTGGGGTGTCTGCATGGAGAGAGAATCAATAGGAACCAGAAGTTGAGATATTTCTGTCACAAATCAAATGGAGTTTTCGCTTGATTTTGTTAATGTATATGATGATTTAACTAGGAAATGTGTTGGTTCATGGAGATAGATGCATGTATAAAGAAGACATTTTTGTATAACTATTTTGTGTACCCTCATGCGAGTATTTGAAGTAGCCATTGGGGTTTTTAGTTAGTATTTTAAACAGTTTCTAAAAAAAAAACAATCATCATCTTTTGTCTGGCCTTCCAGTAAGTTGTTGGTATCTATTACAATTCCAAGCAATGTTTTAAAATTATTATTTAGAGAGTAACTCTAACCTTATATCAATTGCGATTAAAAGTTCATGATACTGTCCATTTTCGAGAATGTGTTTAGTGTACTTAATTAATGATGACAACGTAGGCCTATACCATAATGGTGTTCCACCACTTGTTCCACTAAGCAATATATTGCTTTGTGTAAGAGCAAGGCGTCATCACGGTAGTGGTAGTTGGGTAGAACTTCTGGATCAGAGACTCCTCTCTCCTGAAGGTCAGCATGGAGGGAGCCCTCTACGTCAAGACGATAGGTCGCAAAAGCACGTTTGACAATTTCCGCCATGCCTACTGCTCCTATGTTCATGACGTCATCGGCGAAGCCTCCCTCTCCCATCAAATCACCCATGGCTTTACTAAAATATTATCAAAATGGGAGTGTTATACAAACATAAACGTTGGAAAAAAAAGTAGCAATGAACATTGATTATACATGATTTCTGTACACAAAAAATGCAACAGTGTTTAAGCTACATAACTTGATTTCATCCAGTAATCATTGACCTAAAAACAAATATTTTTCGATAAAATGACAAAAAAAAATATATGAAGCTAAAGCCGGCTTTTCAGCAAGCCCCTCCATGACCTACATGTTTTCTCTGCCTATTGTACACCGTAGACCAGTTACAATTACATTGTTAAGTTGTATTATTTTACTATATAGTACAATGCAATCCCATGTATTTGTACTTTTTAAAATCGGAAATGGCCAATAGGATAAGCCGGATTATCATAAACTATATATTTTGGTTCCTAAAAATTGCTTGATGTAAATAATATTTGGTTATTAAAAGTTACACCAAAACGATATTAACCGGGAAATGACGAGCATACAGTAGTTATTGATCGACATTTGAAAAATCTATTTGAGAGCAAGAAGGTCGTAGAAGATAAATAATGAAAATTGTTGTCAGTTGTAAACGGGGATCACTTATATGCTTTTCACACTTTTTTTGCTTAGCCCAGTACTTTCCTTAGCCAATGACTCACTTTTTTGGCTTTTCAGTCGAGCTGTTTGGGCATTTCCCGTGATAAGAAAATTCATGTTAGCAGCGCAATTGCGGGTTAAGCCCTACTATTTTGCAGGGCCAACTAACCGCATACTTTAGGTGGGGCTAGCCCACTTCGGAAAATTCGTGTCTGTAATAAAGTGGAGCAAAGACCCCCCCCCCCCTCCTTTAGCCCAACCTTTAACACAAATAGCACAATTTTACCAGTGTGAAAAGCATATAAATGTGTTTGGAATTCAAGAAAAATTGACGGCCAATTTTTTTTTTTTACTAAAATAATAAAATGTTTAATGTCACGGATTAACAAGATGCTCACACTTGACTGATCAGGCTCTGACACAATATAAAATAATCGTCTAACATTTTGTTTTGGGGAGTTAAATTTGGGTCCTAATACACAAAATATCGACTTTCTAAATTTGTTTTAAAAATAGAACATCTCACTCATTGATGGCAAGTAGGTAGAGGAAATGAGGAGCAAGAAGACGGAAGATGGGATGGGACGGAGCCAAGTATCGATGCGTTGCTATGACGACTGATTCACCGAACAGGTGCGTAAATCCAAGATGACTGGCCGACTCATGCACTGACGAATCGGCCAAGTTGAAATAGCATTTTGCCATCAGCCAAGTATACTCAGGATCCGTTGGATAAAACACCTAAAATGAATATTGAAGACAGAATATTTATCTTTTTTGGAAAATGAAGTTCCATAGAAATATATGTTTGGCGAGTAGCAAAAAGATAACGTCTTTAGCTCACTCTTGATAGTTAACTTGGTATAATATAATCAATTGCAACATTCGCTTATTTTGAATATCGGAAATAATCGAATGATAATCATTATTGTAATTTGGAATCATTACTATGTATGTCCTAAGTTCGATAGAGGTTTGATGAAGAAAGAAAACAAATTATTCGCGTTTTGTTATGTTTCATTACATAAGTTGTCTACTTCGTTATTGTTTGTGTGTGTAAAATAACCATTTCTGGTCTTTTTATTTCCTCATAATAATATAATCATTTTCACATTTTTAGCATTTGCCTCCATTTCTGGAGGGATATACATGTTTTTTTAACATGTTATTTATCTGTAAACGATAATTCAGTAGGTAAAACAAAATATGAAGAACTCCATGTTTTGTTCTTTCCTTTTAAATTCTTTTTCAACAATTCTTTTGTAGATAGTGAAAAGTGCATTGTCTTCTTCGTTTGATTACCTATTTTTTGTCAAGATTTCGTTTCTCAAATCGATCAAAAATACAGATCAAAGTAGCACACATGACGGTTTGCATGACGAAATTGTGAACGGAAATAACCTGCATTCTAAACACTTTAATCAGGTGACTTGTTAGAGATCACTGATCATCGATTGGGCTAACACAAGCTAGGTTTTTCACGTTCGTATTTTACGAGATGTAAATTCTGCAATTGGGATTTCTACAAAAGGGACCCTCCTCCCCATTTAACAATCAAAGCAAGGGTTCTTCTAAGCGGAGAACGTTTACAGGCAGACCTTGATGCAAGATAATTTTTAAATATCCTTAATACTTTCTCAAAATAACAAAATATTTCTTGTTTCTTTTGTAATATCAAATTTGAAGAAAAAAATCACTAGTTTTTACTAAGATTTGTACAAAAATACCGGATTATCTGGCGCTGGGTCTTGGTATAACTGGATTGCGACTGGCATCAAATATTTGTCCTTGTTGACGAAGAAAAGAGCCAAAGGGGCACACATCTGGAAGAAATCAAACGTGATTTAAACAACGGTTTTAATTGTTGATTAACTTGTTTGACAAAAATAAACATTGTAAATGCTCAAGAGTCAGAGTTGAATTGAATCAAGGGAATGCAATCACAATATGTGCCTTAAAAAAACAAGAACAAGACAAAGAAGAAGTAAAACAGGCGTAAAACAAACAACCGAACAAACAAAAACACGCAGATATGATTATGACGAAAACTTAATACATTTTTGAGAAGTTGTACGTTGCAATCTAGACAATGGTTCATTTTCCGTCAATGAATCAATAATTTTTGATATATTTAATCTCGAGTCTCCATTTTTTTTCGGAAAAAAGGTTTCTTTCCAAGTTGAAGATATTGATCCAGGCATCAGCTGACGAAATTAACCCGTGTTTCGATATTATTGGTCGTCTACGACCTAGTTTCGTGAAATGCTGCCTTTGTAATGCTGGCACATCTCTTTAGCGAATAATTCTTCAACATTTCGAACTGTTTACCTCTCTATCGTTTAAACAAGGCAACCCCTTTAGGAACTTGTAATCAATGATGAAGAGACGTTTGTCCTTGGTGGCATCTTTAGTTGTGAGTCCTTCGAGTAGGGGCTCAAGATCGCTCTCACTCACGGCAAAACTACGCGGAGTGATGGAAAAGAAGAATACGTATCCTGAAATAAGCTGTAGGCTACTTTAAAGGCATTGTATTTTACCGACATTGCTACCACTGCTGTAATGTATTTGGTGAAGGCGTACATACACTGTTGGTCATAAAGATGGAATAATTATTTTTACCCCAATTTATGGATTGATTTTGACAATGATTTATTCCTAATAGATCAAGATAATAGTATACATTCTCATATTTTATTGAATATTAATTTGCGAGTGTTTGTTTTGCGTGACTGCTAACGCATGTGTGTGGTACTATGTCAATCAACTAGGGGACCCTACGTTCTTCATTCATAACTGACAGTAATGAGGATTAATGCCTCACAAAAGGGCACTAACATAGCTGATCGACACGATTTTTATTCTGGGGCCTCACAGTAACGAGACCATTGCTTAGCCAATGAATCATGACTACGCAACGGGGGCTAGGGCACGTCGCCCCCTAACAAATACCAAAAACACAAAGAAAATGCAATAAATAATCATTGGGGGTTGGGGGTCGGGGCAAAATGCAATGAATTATTGATAATTTATTGCATTTTCTTTGTTTTAGGGCATGTGTGGGGGCGGCGACGTACCTTAGCCCCCGCTGCGTACAGTCATGATCCATTGGCTAAGCAATGCCCTCGTTACTGTGAGCCCCAGGATGAAAACCGTGTCGATGTGCTATACTAGTGTCCTTTTATCCTCATTAAGGACGTAGGTCTCCTAGTTGATTAGCATAGTAGCACACACATACTTTAGCAGTCACAAATTATTATTCGATAAACTCTGAGAATGTGTACTATTATCTAGATCTATTAGGAATAAATCAATGTCAAAATCATTCCATAAATTGGGGTAAAAATAATTATTCCACCATTGTGACCAACAGTGTAGATTAATTTCCGGCTCAATGTACCCAAGCACCATCACGCGTGCATCATGCAGTTGGTGATGCATTGTGGAACATGGCCGTCGACACATCGTGAATTTGAGCAGGAGATGGCAGTATCTGAAGTAGTGTCAGTAGAATACCTTGCCTTTAAGATATAGACGGAATTGTATCCTTCAGGGAGGAGTTAACATGTGAAGAGTGATATATATATATAGATATATATATATTTCAGGACAATGCGTTCGAAAGGACATTTTTTAAAATTTAAATCAGTTAAATCAAAATCTGATAGTAACATAATTATTGTGCTTGTAAATTCGAAATGTTAAAAGGTGAAATTAACGTAAGCACAGCATTTAAGTCAACGGATGTTCACCAATATGCAATGAGGGATAAGGATGAGGAGAAGAAAAGGAAGAAGAAAAATAAGAGGAAGAAGAAACAAGAGACGAAAAAGGTTATATAAATGAAAAAGAAAAAGGAAAAAAAGGAAGATGGAGATCGAAGAGGGGATGAAATAAAAGGAAGAGGACGAGGAGGAAGGCGAGAACAATATAAAAAGGAACAAGAAGAAGAGGATGAAGTAGAGGAAAAGGAGGAGAAAGAGGAGAAGAAGAATGATAAGAACAAATACTTCTCTGGTATCTCGGTACAAAGTCGAATCATTGCTGGGTTGCATCCCGCCAGTCTCTGATTGCCGAATGCTTTGTCTGACCTCCAGTTTTGCACTCCCTTCAAAATAAGATTTTAGAAAGACCTGATATGAGAATTATGTTCATGAATGATAGCCACACCCACTATGTCAATCATCTTTTGTGATAATAACGCCAAACTGCTCGGTATCAATTTAGTGTTCAATCCGTTTTCTTCGCGCATTAATACTCCAGTTAATGATCTTTACATTATTGAACCACAATAACATCACTTCTTTTGACAAAGCCCAGGCACTCCGAAAAATAGTTACAATCAGCATACTAATTAGAACTCCAAGCCGATCATTTTTCTAAATATCATCCATATGACAATAACTAAACTATCATTTTAGTGACAGTTGAATTAATATTAACTTTAAATATGTCCGTTTCACACAATGCTTCACTTTAATTGCCGTATTAACTCCGCTAACAATCCTGTGAACGTACTATAGTGAAGTAAATTCGTCCATACGCCAGTCATTCAACTTCTTTGTTGTATGTACTGTGCATTCTATTTGCTTTTACCTGTTAAACGATATCATCCGAGCTATCATCCTCTAACGGCTCGTCTAAAACCCGGCGAACACTGCACGATCCGAGCTATCATCCTCTAACGGCTCGTCTAAAACCCGGCGCACACTACACGATCCGAGCTATCATCCTCTAACAGCTCGTCTAAAGCCCGGCGCACACTACACGATCCGAGCTATCATCCTCTAACGGCTCGTCTTAAACCAGGCGCACACTACACGATCCGAGCTATCATCCTCTAACGGCTCGTCTAAAACCAGGCGCACACTACACGATCCGAGCTATCATCCTCTAACGGCTCGTCTAAAGCCCGGCGCACACTACACGATCCGAGCTATCATCCTCTAACGGCTCGTCTAAAACCCGGCGCACACTACACGATCCGAGCTATCATCCTCTAACGGCTCGTCTATAAAACCCGGCGCACACTACAAGATCCGAGCTATCATCGTCTAACGGCTCGTCTAAAACCCGGCGCACACTACACGATCCGAGCTATCATCCTCTAACGGCTCGTCTAAAACCCGGCGCACACTACAAGATCCGAGCTGGCGGCTCGTCTAAAACCCGGCGCACACTACATGATCCGACTACGATCCGATGGATTCTTGATCGGATCGCGTAATGTAATACCATACAACGACTATCTGGTTGGGCTCATGGTCGCAGAGTAGTCGGATCGCGTAATGTTATATCATACAACGACTATCTGGTTGGGCTCATGGTCGCAGAGTAGTCTAATTGCAGTCGGATCGTGTAGTGTTTTTAAAAATCATTTTTAATGATGCGTGTGTAATACACTTTACATTTTTTAAGCTGTAACACACAGCTCACTGAATATGCCTACGCGCAGGATTTTTGTTGCGCGCAGCTGCCAATCATTTACAATCATGTAAAGCCGCGTGTGTTTTTTTTTCTTTTCTTTTTTGTCAGGCAAATGACGTCTCGTGTGCAATGGGCAATATGTGTTTGATTCCCCCAAGAGGGGCGCACTGAGCAAAATGCCCCGTCAAATACCTCACCAATGGCACTGGAAAGTGGGGTTCTCGATAAATCTCCTCTATTCCCTTCAATGAATCCCACGTCTCTACGGTGAAATTCATTATTGCTGCTGTAGCAAGTAGCTTGACTCCATTTCCGGCCAGATCAAACTGTAATAGTAATAAAAATATTACAAAATTAAATATTATATTTTGTATTAAATTTTTGATCAATGAAATCCTGTTCAGTGATTGGTCAACATGGCATCACGTGACCAAACATAACATTGCTAGGATGTAACCGTAACGTCATCCATGGTATAGTGCACTATACCATAACACTATACCATGGATGACGTCATATATATATATATATATAAATATATACGATCGAACAAGATCAATGTGCTATCGGTTGCGGTCGCGCGTCTGCGCTGCTCTCACTGCGCTCTTCACTACTCCAGTGACAGTGAACATTATTATCATTATTATTTTTTGAAGGTTGGTTTGAAAGAAAAAAATATATATATCATGCACTATTTCAAGCCACTAGTGAAATTATGGATTCCTGGGCGACAGAAATACCTCTATTTTCTTCGGGACTACGCCCCTGAGAAAATAGTGCTATTCCTGCCACCTCGATCCATAATTTCAACTAGAGCCTCTTAAGTTAGGGCATGGTACATTTGTTTATTATTGTTTAATCAATTCAACTATAGACCCTAATCAAGTGATTGGTCTAATAAAGTCACGTGTGATCATTTATTAAGACTATTCCACGATTTGTTTTTAATTAACAATCGTGCAATTGATTCCAGTAGGCCTACTATCAAGCGCAGCAGTATCCGTAGCTCTTTTACGTAATAGCAAGGCTGCGCGTAAACGTGTAAAGAGCTCTTGAACTCTCTGCGCTCGCTTCAGTATGCCTCCCAAACATTCGATTTAATTGACATTGATAATGGCAGGGACCAATCTAAAAAAAAACTAGACTTTAATTCGTCACTTAGACGAATTAGGTGATACGTATGATAATGGTTTACATAACGAATAATGCATTACACGATATATTATTTTGTTAAATGCTTCTCCCATTTATATGCTTCTCCCGTTATGATCTATTCATATGTCTAGATTAAATTGTGTCTCCTTGATCATCATGGATCTAGGGAAGATAGATTGAAACAATATATGACATTTGAACCTGTGCAGTAACCAGTTACACATTTGACTCTAATTTACATCATGAAGAACACCTTTTGACGATTTTATCTTATTCAAAGAAATGAAAATGTAATTGATAAATGATTATCATCATTATGATAATGATGATCATGATGATAATGATCATGATCATGAGCGCGATCATGACATCTTATTGAAAAAATGAGGGTTGATTTAGATAGCATATAATCTCAGCTACAACATATTCAAAAATCAACAAAATCCAAGCAGAAATAACGGCGATTTTGCTCGCAAAAGACAGAAATGTAGACTCCAGATTTGAGAAAAAGTCATCTCCCATTGGGATTACACGCAAAAAGTAATGGATTAATTGAAAATAGGGTAATAATAAAGTAAAAAGGCTTGTTTATGACATTATTTGCGATTCTACGTGTTTAAATAATGAAAGGAGATGGTACAGTGAAGGTCAAAAGGAAAAAAAAGTGAAGAAAAAAATTGTTGGAGACACCCGGACTCGAACCAGGGATCTCGAGGTTGGAAGTCAAGTGCGTTACCGATATACCAAAACATCTCCCATAGCGATTACACGTAAACGGGAAATGGAATTCTCAATCCTACTTTGCAAGTGAAATAAGAGCATGATCCCGGCATCTAATCGAAAAATAAAGGGCACATTTGTGATAGCTCATTGTCTTAGCTACAACATATCCGAAGCTCAGGGAAAACGAAGCTAAAACAACAGAGATTTAGCTCGCGAAAGACAGGAGTGTAGAATCCAGTTTTGAGAAAAAGTCATGTCCCATAGAGAATACACGCAAAATGTGAAAAATTGACATGCCTCCTTTAATCGTAAAAATACACCATGATACTTTTGTTAAAAATAAAAATTGAGAATACAACATTTGTAGAAAATTGTCTCAGCTAGAACATATCAAAATTTGGAAGAAAAAAAATCAATATTTACAGAGATACAATCAATTTTCCAAAAATATGCAAACGTCATAATATGCAAATTTAAATTTCGAGTTCGGAGGCCATTATGATGACATTATGAGTTAATTGAGAGTCAAATGAGACATGAAATCATATTTCCATTTCATAATCTATCCACATATGAAAGAATATTGGGAGTTTCTATCTATTCTGAAGAGTTACAATGAATTTTGTATAGGCATTTTTTTGCCCATGTATTGTGGATAAAGATCACGCAAATCCGCGCGTGCTGTCAACTTTGACGGACGCTCATTGCGTTATTAAAAGGTGAACAAATTATCAAAATGCTTGGAAAAATGTACAAAATACGATGAAGGAGAAAATACGGCGATTCTATGTTGCAAAATGCTAGTACGCGCAAAAAACGCGCGCGCATGCGCGTGAGCGCGATTTTTTGTCAAATGCTTTATATGGCTTGAAACGTATGCAAAAAAAATTTGGGATGATTTGGAGCATTTTAAATTTTTGAGCGCGCGTAAACGCGCGCACCTACGCGTACGCGCATTTTTACGCGCATATATTGACCTGAAATTGACCGGACGGATATTGACCTTGATCATGACAAATATGAATGAGAAATGGCTTTCCGTTATGAAGATATGATCATAAGTTGATTTTCACAAAATGGCGCCTGGATGACGTCACGATGACCTTGACTGTCTGAAAAGTCACACAGTTCTAAGTTAGACTAAGATCTATCATCATTGAAAGTTTCATGATAATGGCTTTATTCAGTCTTGAGATATCCTGCGAACAAATTCGAGGAAGAATAATAAAAATAAACTAGACTTTAATTCGTCACTTTGACGAATTAGGTGATACGTATGCTAATGGTTTACATAATAAAGAATGCATTACACGATTATTTTATGGAATGCTTCATCCATTAAGATCTATCCATATGTCAAGTTTAAATTGTGTCCCCTTGATCATTATGGATCTAGGGAAGATAGATTGAAAAAATATGACCATTGACCCTGCGCAGTAACCAGTTACACCTTTGACTCTAATTTACATCATGAAGAACACATTTTGACGATTTTATCTTATTCAAAGAAATAAAAATGTAATTGAAAAATGATTATCATCATTATGATAATGATGATCATGATGATCATGATGAAGATCATGATCATGAGCGCGATCATGACATCTTATTGAAAAAATGAGGGTTGGTTTTGATAGCATATAGTCTCAGCAACAACATACTCAAAAATCAACAAAATCCAAGCCGAAATAACGGCGATATTGCTCGCAAAAGACAGGAATGTAGACTCCAAATTTTAGAAAAAGTCATCTCCCATAGGGATTACACGCAAAAAGTAATGGATTAAGTGAAAATAGGGTAATAATAAAGTAAAAAGGGTTATTTATGACATTATTTGCGAATCTACGTGTTTAAATAATCAAAGGAGATGGTACAGTGAAGGTCAAAGGGAAAAAAAAAGTGAAAAAAAAGTGTTGGAGACACCCGGACTCGAACCAGGGATCTCGAGGTTGGAAGTCAAGTGCGTTACCGATATACCAAAACATCTCCCATAGCGATTACACGTAAACGGGAAATGGAATTCAGAAATCCTACTTTGCAAGTGAAATATGAGCATGATCCCGGCATCTAATAGAAAAATAAAAGGCACACTTTTGATAGCTCATTGTCTCAGCTACAACATATCCAAAGCTAAGCGAAAACAAAGCTAAAACAACGGAGATTTTGCTCGCGAAAGACAGGAGTGTAGAATCCAGTTTTGAGAAAAAGTCATGTCCCATAGAGAATACACGCTAAATGCGAAAAATTGACATGCCTCCTTTAATCGCAAAAATACACCATGATACTTTTGTCAAAAATAAAAATTGTGAATACTACATTTGTAGAAAATTGTCTCAGCTAGAACATATCAAAATTAAAAAGAAAATTGATCCATATTTACAGAGATACAATCAATTTCCTAAAAATATGCTGACGTCATAATATGCAAATTGAAATTTTGAGTTTGGAGGCCATTATGATGACGTCATGAGTTAATTGAGGATAACATGAGACATGAAATCATATCTCCAACTCATAATCTATCCAAATATGAAAAAATATTAGGAGTTTCTATCTATTCTAAAGAGTTACAATGAATTTTATATAGGCATGTTTTTGCCCATGTATTGTGGATAAAGATAACGCAAATCCGCGCGTGCTGTCAACTTTGACGGACGTTCATTGCGTTAATAAAAGGTGAACAAATTATCAAAATGCTTGGAAAAATGTACCGAATATGATGACAGAAAAAAATCGGCGATTCTATGTTGCAAAATGCCAGTACGCGCGAAAACGCGCGCGCATGCGCGTGTGCGTAATTTTTTTATCAAATGCTCCATATGGCCTGAAACGTATGCAAAAAAAATTTGGGATGATTTGGAGCATTTTAAATTTTTGCGCGCTCGTAAACGCGCGGACGAACGCGCACGCGCGCATTTGCGCACTTTTATTGACCTCAACTTGACCGGACGGATATTTATCTTAATCGTGATAATTATGAATGAGAAATACTTTTCTGTTATGAAGATATGATCATTAGTTGATTTTCACAAAATGGCGCCTGGATGACGTCACGATAATTTTGACTCTTTAAAAAGTCACGCAGTTCTAAGTTAGACTAAGATCTATCATCATGGCAAGTTTCATGATAATGGCTTTATTCAGTCTTGAGATATCCTGCGAACAAATTCGAGGAAGAATAATAAATAAATAAATAAATAAATAAATAATAAAAATCTTGACGAAATCAAAAGGTGATACGTCTACGTACGTATCACCTAACTAGACTTTAATTCGTCACTTTGACGAATTAGGTGATACGTATGCTAATGGTTTACATAATAAAGAATGCATTACACGATATCATATTATTTCATGAAATGCTTCATCCATTAAGATCTATCCATATGTCAAGTTTAAATTGTGTCCCCTTGATCATTATGGATCTAGGGAAGATAGATTGAAAAAA